GTCCCCTCCCCACCATTGTCCAGGTCCTTGGGTTGTGCATATATGCATATAAATTCTTTGGTTAATCTCGTTCCACCCTCCACCACCCCCTTCCCTCTTTCCTCTGAAATATGATCGTCTGTTGCATGCGTCAGGGTCTCTGGATCTATTTAGTTCATCAGGTTCTTTTGTTCATTAGCTTCATCTTAAAGACGACCCTTCAACTTTTCCTGTAGTGCTGGTTTGATGGTGATGAACTTGTTTAGCTTTTCCTTATCTGTGAAGCTCTTTATTTGACCTTGAATTCTAAATGGTAGCTTTGCTGGGTAGAGCAATCTTGGTTGTAGTTCCATGTTTTTCATCACTTTAAATATTTCTTGCCACTCCCTTCTGGCCTGCAAAGTTTCTGTTGAGAAATCAGCTGAACGATCGTATGGGTGCTCCCTTGTAGGTAACTAACTGCTTTCTCTTGCTGCCTTTAAGATTCTCTCTTTGTCTTTAACCTTTGGCATTTTAATTATAGTGTGTCTTGCTGTGGGCCTCTTTGGGTTCCTCTTTTTTGGGACCTTCTGTAAGTCGATTTCTTTCCCCAGGTAGGGGAAGTTTTCTGTAATTATTTTTTCAAATAGGTTTTCAATTCCTTGGTCTCTTTCTTCCCCTTTTGGCACCCCAATAATACGAATGTGGGGCCTCTTGAAGTTGTCCCAGAGGCTCCTTATACTATTTTCATATTTCTGTATTTTTTTTTCTTTTTGCTCTTCTGGTTGGGTGTTTTTTGTTTCCTCATGTTCCAAATTGCTGATTTGATTCTCAGCGTCCTCTACTCTACTGTTGATTCCCTGTAAATTATTCTTCATTTCAGTTCCTGTAGCCTTCATTTCAAATTGGTACTTTATTATGTTATCGATTTTCTCAGTTATTTCCCTAACAGTCTGCTTAAACATCCTTATAAACAAAATTCTGAACTTTGTATCTGTTAGCTTGCTTGGGTCTATTTCACTTAGTTCCTCTTCTAGAGATTTCTTCTGTTCTTTCCTTTGTGACATGTTTCTTTGCCTCCACATTTTGGCTGCTTCCAGGTGTTTGTTTCTATGTATTAGGTAGAGCTGCTATGTCTCCTGGAATTTGTAGAGTGGCTTTGTGTAGTAGGTGTCCTGTAGGGTGTAGTGGCTTAGCCTCCCCAGTCACCTGAGCTGGGCCTTCTAGGTGCTCCCCTGTGTGGG